TGAGCTGTTGATTTCTGTTTACCTAAGCTTGCTTGTTCTCTGTTTAATTACAAACGATAAATGAATGCGATCAATACCCCCAAATAAATGAAGTGAGGCACATTTTAACGTGGGAATATCGAGCTAAACACTTCAGGCTGTTTCATTGTTTCGTGACCCAAGTCGAGTTGGAACCACCGCAGCATACCACAAAACAAAGCAACGCAGCCGTGACCTCAGATTGAAGGGTTTGATGAAACTTTAGTCATTCTGAATGTGCTTATTTTCATACCATTTCTGCTACATATTGCACAACTGTATTCTACCGTAACCATAAAGTGGAGTGATTTGCTCTGTAGTGAGCTGAATGTGGTCGGCTGGATTCTTATTTGTTGTTCTTTTCGTGTCTAATTTACCTCCAGGCTTCACTGCTATTAAATGTTTGAGCAATCGAATCAACGAACAATGCGAAAATAAAATGTGGTTATCTGCATTCCACAGGAGATTTAGATGGTATTTAACATAATTTTGCGTGCTACGTGTAGGTACAGCCATCTACAACCAGTAATCTGTTAACGCAGTTAAGTATAGTGGCTGGGGAAGAGACAGACAGCTTTTAGCACCTTTTGAGCAATAAAAGGGATAAAATGTGAGCAGAGACCTCCTGGGTTGGACAAATGAAGCCAGTGTGGAAGTGCCAAAGCTGCAGTTCCACAATTGGCCATGGGACAGACTCCAGAAAAGAAAAAGCTTCACACCCTGGTATAAAGAAAGGGTTTGGTTCTCTGTAGCAAATCCTAGGCAGGCTTCACTGTTCAGCTGTAGTAAAAACCAATCTAAGTTTCACAGACAAATGGGTGATGTCACAGTTGCTACATCTGTCTTTCAATATGTTACTTGCTGGCCACACAATCAGAGTGTCAGCACGGCTGTGGTGTTATAATTAGCCACAAGTCAGGATGTCCAAATGCAGAAGCAAAAGCTCAGTCAAAAACACAAAACTTATTAACAAGCCGGTGATACTTTCAAAAACACAGCCAAACTTAAAAGGGAATCCTAAGCAGCACCAAAACCAGGAAGCAAGACGGGTTAAACACTAGAATCTCAACAGAGGATCTGATAAACACAACTGGGGAGAGAGGACTACGTATGCACATGAGGCTGATCACACGATGAGAAAGAGGAATGAGTACAGGACTGGTGACAGCTTAGGACACAGCCTAGCCAATTTCTTCCACCATAGACTGTAAAAAGATGAATGGACTCATTCTTATATAGCGCTTTTTTACTCTAAATGAACTTACTCTAAACTCTAAATCAGCCACCCCTACCTATGACTGATGCATTGTCCCCACTTCCTTTCACTTTACAAAAGAGACGCTACACTGTTATGGAAATGATAGTGTATGCTGCTATTCTGCTCCTGTGACCAGATTCTGTGCAGTAGTGAGTGGAAAACACTGCCTGACTTTGAGTGGTCAGTAAGAATGCAAAATTGCTATATAAATCTTGGGCTATTTACTATTGAGTACCGCCTACTTGGCCAAATGTGAGCACAGATGTGCTATGACATCCTCAGTTAAAGTTTAATTAAAAACTGTTGGTGTTTGCTTACAAATAACCCATTTGTAAATTATTTTGGTACCAAAAATCAGTAAACATCAGAAACAAACAATACTATATTTTCTAGTATATTCACATGAATAGCATGCATGATTGCGCTATGATCTGCAAACTCTTCTTTAGCTTTGATTATGCCACATGTGCCAAACTCAAGGCCATGGAGCCAAATTTGTCCCTTGTTATCCAATCCATATATTATTTTAGATTCTTAATAAAATTTTAAGAAAAATTCATGATGAAAAATCTATTTCTTTTACTTGGAAATAGATTTTTACTCTTTTACTTACAGCAACAATTTGCATTTAGGCATTGTCAAGATGACCTGCTGAAGTACAGAATCTGAGAGAATATGGAAAAATGTAGATTTAAGTGACTTGAGGTGAAAATGCCGTGTTGATGCCAGAGGTCAGAGGACAACTACCAGACTTCTTTGAGCTGACAGGAAAACAACAGTAAGTCCACACACACCAAACAACAGATTGAACTGTGAAGCAGATGGCCTACAGCAGCAGAAGACCACACCTGGTGCAACTCCTATCAACTAAGAACAGGAAATTGAGCCTGCAATTCACATGGGAATTCTCAACATTGGATTTTAGAAGACTGGAAAAAGGATGCCTAGTCAGATGAGCCTCAGTTTCTGTTGCCACTTTCAAGTGGTGGTGTCAGAATTTGGCATGAAGCACAGATCCATCCTGCCTTGTATCAACATTTCAGGCTGCCGGCAGTGGTGTGGGGAATATTTCTTGGAATACTAGTATGAGCTCAGCATCATTTAAACACCATAGTCTGTCTGAGTATTGCTGCTGACCATGTGCATTCCTTTATGACCACAGTGTACCCATTTTCTGATCGCAACATGTCACAAACCTCAGATCGTTTCAAACTGGCTACTTGAACATCACAATGAGCTCATAATACTCATATGGTCTCCACAGTCACCAGATCTCAATCCAGTAGAGTTTCTTTGGTACGGTGTGCAGATTCCCATCATGGAAAGGCAAAGGAGCACTTTTGTGGCCTGGGTGAAGTATGTGGATCAAACTGTACATGAGAAGGCTATGCAGGGCATGCATTTTTGATTCAATTAAAGCATTTGAACTGACTTTGACAGGCCTGGATTATATAATTATAATAACTTTAAAATTTTGCAAACCTTTGCAATTTCTCAGATGCACAAAGTTGTGTGTACTCGTGTGTTGTGTCTGATCCAGAAAAAAGCACTTTAGATGTTCAGGAAATCAGTTTATCACTTTCAGAAGCATCCTGAATCAACATGTTTTTCGGAGAATGTGGACTTTAAGTGTTCCCTTAATGGCTCTTTAGGTAAGTAACCTTTTACTCATTTAGCAGATTTCACTCAGAGATCTTTGTGCCACCCTGTGTGCAGTCCTAGAGCAGCTTCTCTGTATCTGCAGATAATCTGAACTCTAATCTTCCCTGATCAGTTGGCTCAGCTAACTGAACATCATTCTCTTTTACAGACAACATGTGCAGTAAAGCGAGAGCAACGTCGTATCGCAAACGGCAGACGAGGCCACATGTAGCTGTGCGATCTCAGAATATGAGCCCGAGAGAATGTTGGAGTGGCCTGGATGTTTTGTGTAAACTCTCAGGCTGAAACCGGCCTCTCTGCGGCTCAGTGTCACGTCAATAGACGAGAACACAGAGCGAATCCCAGGCTGAAGTTAACCACCGTGCTCACTGCGGCTCTATTGCTTTTTCCCACAGGACAAGCAGCTTCATTATGAAGCACCGTGGTCTCCTTTTCATCTCAGTGAGATCACCCCTGTGGGGAGTATCAACACTGTGAGCCACATCTGACGCTTTCTCGTCCCTGTTTAAACACTGAAATAGTGTTCAATCATATTGTTGTTGGCTGCTTTCTTTCTTTTTTCTTTTTTTTTTTTGTCATAATGCAGCTGCTTGGAAACTGCCACAGGACTCAAAGATCTCAGCGGAGAAAGGAGGTGATCAATTTCTGAGGGAACCCCCACCTACCCAGCCACCCACCCTCTTCTCTCCCCCTCGTCTCCCTGACCCCTCCACTTCCTCCTCCTCACTTCAACTAGCCATAATTATTTTGCAAAAGAGCTCCAGAAAAAGAACACGCAGAGTAATTTCTCTTGCCCAGTTATGAAAAGCTCATTAAAAAAGGCCCGGAACAAACAAAGCTTTTCCTGTGAGGCCTCTTTTCAAATTCATTTCATAATTTTCCTCTGTTTTAATCATTTATATCAATTAATCATTCCTTGGTGGAAAAGACATTCTTTGCAATCTTCCGTGGGGTTTTTTTGTTCTGCTGAGTGAGAGGCTTGATGAGAATGTCAGGAGAATGTGGCTCAAACCAAGGCGGAGTAGCACCGGCTTTGCCAAAAGGGAAATCAGCTTGATGCAGCGCGATCTCTTCGGAGCTGCAGGAATAATTAAACAATTAAAGTCAAGAAAAAGATCATCTTTATACATCTGACGTCTTTCTAATGAAGCCAGGGGCATCTTATAAGAGAGCCGTTTTGTCATGTAAAACCACTCAGCCTGCTGAATCTCAAACAGGGAAACTTTTCTCCAATAGCAACTGTTTTTGGTTAAACTGAAGACGTCACTTGTTTGCAGCTTTTCTTTACAAGGAGAGCAGCCCCCCCGCCTCTCTGTCGTGGTGTCGCCACCATATACATTTCATTTTTATTAAAAAAACGTTACAGTCACCTTCAGTTGATGGGATCTCAGAAGTGTCACGTGATGGTGGAAAAACTCAAACTGAAGGAATTAAAAGGATCTCAGCCAAATCAGGTCTTGCAGATTAGCCTTAATAGGTGTTGAAACCAATGACCCGAGGCTTAATGAGGTTGTAAACGACAGCAGGCCTCGCTGCGATTTTTTCCAGTGACAGACGATGGCGCCACTACGCAGCTATTAGGGGGGCTTGATATTTCCCAGAGGTTGGAGTCACCCTCGGTAAACTAAGTAGTTATTGAATGTCAACTAATTAAAGTCGGGCGTGAGATGAATGCAGCCTACAGGATGTTGCTATGCAGCTTTCAGTAGTCCCGACAATGGAGACAGTTTGATCTGTATATTATTACAATGCTTCATATGCAATCTCTCCATGTTCGAGTATTATGGACGTTTAGAAGAGATAATATATTTATCACGGTGATATTGAAGCTCCTTAAACAGGACACTGAGCTTATTCTACGGATTTTCTTCGGCGTATAAATCCGCTCTAATCTCGTCTCTGCCCCTGATTTGGCTTGTATACGTTGGACTGCTGCGTGTCTCTTCTCTCCGGTCCATCTCACCTCCGTTTCCATCCTTCTCTGTCTGCGTGTCCGAGTCAGTCTCGCCTCCCTCTGATTGGCCAGAATTGTTATTCCTCTTAAATGGACCGCGCGCGGATTGGCTGCCGAGGCCCTTTCGTCACGCGGCTGAAGGGGCTTTTTTACTGGAGGTTTCTTCCTGTCAGCGACACATGTAGAACAAGCAGCTAACGGGACCCAGAGACCAGAGCAGAGGACAGTCAATTACAGCTTCTCTGCCTGCCTCCGCGTTTCTGTTTTTCCTCCCTCCCTCTTCTCCACGCACTTCTCCAGCTCTGTGGACACAACGGCATGCGCAGACCTGTAATTACGGCTTGTGATGGACTCGTTTTTGTTCCAGCGAGAAAAAGAGCACTAAAAGCGGCAGCAGCAGTTAAACGGGAAGCATCCAGTGGAAATACTATCTGATAACTCCATTTGCTTGCTGAAGAGCCGAGCTCGAGGGTTTCGCTGCCGCGCGGAGCTGGAGGCCGACGACCGCGCGCGGTGTCGCGTCCGCTTTCTACCTGTACTTTTTTGGGGTACTGTTGTTGCAGCCTACCTGTTCGCCTACCTGCCATTCAAGCCGTCAACTTTACAGCCATTACCCTGAAAGGAGACAAACGAGGTGGGTGTTTGCCGCTGGTACAGCTGTTCTGTGTGTTTGCGCTGTATATATATTTTTTTATATGTGTATATATGCTACCTGCAATTGTCCGTAGTTTTCAGAGTGGAAACCGTCGGTTTTGAGTCCGCCTGTGTCTATTTTAGGAATGCCTGCGCTCAGATGTGACAGCGGACATTACACTGGTCTTTTTAAAGGACTCAGCTCGTAGTAATTGAGATGTGAAGCTGCATTTCTTTTATTTTCTATTTCAAAAACAAAATCAGGCAGCGGACAGAAGCTTTTAGCACATGGCTGTCTGATATGTTCCCCCCCCTCCGTCTCTCTCGCTCCCTCTTCTATTTCCATGACTTGGTCTCCAAATTGCTTGCCCGTGTAATTACTTGAGTTAGCCCATTTAAGTTAAAAGCCACCCCCCTCCTCTTCCCCTCCCCGTCCCCTCCATCCCTCAGCGGAAAAAAAGGAAACTCCTCTGAATGAAACTTGATGATGGCCCCGTCTTGTTTATCCGGGAGTCACTTTCAGGTCGGCTTTTTTGATTCATCTCCTTTTAGATTTAATCAGCACTAAGGTACGCTGTGGTTTGTCCCTAAGAGCCATCGCTAATGGGCTTACTGAATGCTTTTCTCTGTGCACCCCCCACCCTCCCTCTTCCTAACTCTAATTAGCCTACCTGTCTTTCAACATAGATTTGGCTTTATCCAGGCGAGGCTGCCTGACCAAATTGGAGAGGATTACATTTGAAAGAGCCCACATTAATTTGGTGGGTGAAACAAATGCCTGCATTTCAGTAGATTAGAACATTTAACATCATTACAGCGTGTGCACATCGCTGTATCAGGGCTGTGGTGTAGATGCGTGATCATATACTTGGCTGAGGTCAAAGGCTCATGCAGCATCAGAACTAATGTGCCAAACATCAGCCTCTCTTTACTCACTCCCTTGAGTTTTGCTGTGGACATCACCTCTTTGCAGAGTGAGGAATTGTGCGCCATTAGGACAGCTCAACAAAGGCCCGTGCTGTGTAATTGTTCCTCTGGCCCCACAGTGTTATCAGTGAATAGACATTCATCACAAGAGGTCTGATGAAGCAACAGCGTAGAGATCAAGGGCAGATTAATTCACTAAGTGACTCGTGGTTGTCTTGTAGCAGAGATCGGGCTTCGCAGCTGCAGATACAACATGTTCAAACAGCTGATAACTGATCAGTTATGACAAATGTGTCAACTCATAGCTGTGTAAGTCCTGACCCTTGTGTGTACAAAGCAGTCCTTGAGTGTAAAAGGAAAAAAAAATAATAGTCTGAACAGCAACCTGTCATGGTTTCTTCTGTGTGTTCTCAGGTACGATGGTGAATCCCGGAGGCAGCAGCCAGCCACCACCGGTGGGCACAGGTTCTCTGTCCTGGAAGCGGTGCGCCGGCTGCGGGGGCAAAATTGCGGACCGTTTCCTCCTTTACACCATGGACAGCTACTGGCACAGCCGATGCCTCAAGTGCTCCTGCTGCCAGGCCCAGCTGGGTGAGATCGGCACATCGTGCTACACAAAAAGTGGCATGATCCTCTGTAGAAACGACTACATCAGGTGAGGAAATCACCAGGTTGTGTGTTCAGTTTTCTGTATTTTGCTTGTGCAGCCTTACTGAGCAAGTTCGATGTTTAAACATCTTGCATGAATTTAAAAGGAAAAATTGTGCTTCTCATAGCCCGTAGAACTTTTCTTCTGGATTATATTAGGCTGTGATATTAAATCAAGTTAAAAGCAGGACTAAGCTGATGTAGATCTGTCATGGTCATGCAACCGTCCGCAAAGTTTGGTGCATTCCTGCACGACATGTGTCTCAAATTGTACTAACGTCATCAGCGCTCATTAAGGCATCCTGGTTGAAGGCTCTCTGGCCTGCCCTGAAAGACGCCAAACGTGGCGCCATGTTGACAGAGCACAAAGCAAAAGGAGAGAGTCTGTGCAGGTCATAATGCGGTCTGTCCTGTTTTACAATCAACAAAAGAACAGAAAACTGGTCCTAAATGACTTGAGTTAGCTCTGCAAGAGACACGGACAGGATCTGTGTTCAGTGAAGGCTGTTTTATTCAATTTTTTTAATACAGTGGAAAAAGGATCATTTAATTAGCAAAGAGAGCCTTTTTAAATATTCAAGTAGGTGTGCCAGACACCCAACCAGAGCTTGTTGATGACACTCATTCTGGTCATGTTGAGCAGTCTTAAGTGACGAGAGAAGGTGCAGTTTACTGAAAGTTGACATGCATCCTTGACTCAGCCTCATGTGCTAGACTGGTATGGATTTTTAAGCCAATCAATTAGCCATTTGCTAAACTTGAGTTTCTATTCATGCAAGACAGTCGGAGAGTCTGCTTTTATTGTTATATAATAGAAATGCATGCTCATATTCTAATGGATGGAACCGCACTCCAGTTAACGTACAACGCTGCTATCAAATCTGCACGGATAATTCAAAATCTAAAGTGCGCCTGTGCGCTCTCACACCCACCTCATAAAAAGGATGGGGAAGTCAATGGGGTACTTCATTCATAATGGGACTATAACGTAATTAAAATTGGAAGGGGGGAAAATGTGGATACACCTTTCCACTTGTAATGAGAGCATGCTTGGTGGAAGAGCTAAAACGCACATTATGGAACCATGAGATCTCTGTGGAGATAAAGACAGGAGCGGGGTAGGAAAAAAAACATCTGACAGTGAGTCTACACAATTAAATGCTTTAATTATAGTCCCCCTCCATTTCCTTTAGTCCTGATGGGTTTTATCTAATGAGATCTGGTCCCTGGCTTGTATCCGCTCCCAATGACGTGTCCGAAATGAATGAGAGCCACACTGCAAACAAAACATTTAATTAACCAAATTGGCTTTTGAGAGAGAGCAAGAGAGAAAGACAGAGAGAAGAGGGATTATTGTGAAGGCCATTTGCTGCTGTTTTTTTCCCCCCTCTTCATCTTAAAGGGGCAGATTCATATTTGTAATAGAGTGCTAAACAGCTCAACATACGTTCTCAGCTGCAGCTTCAGCTTTATATCCATACAGCTGATTTAATAATGCTCATCTGACCGATCGGGAGTTGAGTCGTATGCCTGGCCTGGGATGATAACCCATCCCCTGTTTTTCATGCAGCGCTTGTCCCCAAAAGCTTTAACTTAAAGCCAAAGTTGTGTTTGCTGTAGGGATCATGTTGTTTTAAGCTGGAGGTGATATTATTTCTGTGGGCTGCTAGTAGAGGGAGAATTAATTTACTTGTGGCTGCTGGATTCAGGGAGAATGTGTGTCCCCTTAATTGAATAAGCCTAGGTAATTAAATGGCACTTTTCCAATAGAACGTGTGAGGTAAATCTAATAGTTGGTTATTTAATATCACTTTGAAGTCTGCCCACTCAAGCACTATGACAGCACAAGAGAATGTGAACTATTAGGCCAGGGGAGGAAAAAAAAACTGGATCTCAGAAATTAATTAAATCGCATGCAATTTAGGGGAAACGTTTATCTTGATTTGTCATAACAGAATTAATTCAAGGCCTTCAATTCACTTGGGGCCAGATCTGTTACTCTGAATTAACCAAGTGTAATTTGGCTGATCCCCCACCGCCAGCACCACCCAGCCTCCGACTCCAGCCCTACACACCCCCACCCCCTCCTCCTGAAACACATGCACATCACAGATTCACGCGAACCCTCCCTCATCCTCGCAATCTCCCCACCCCGCCCTGTCCTACCCCCCCTCCACCCTTTTCTCTAATGCAGCTCTTGCCATTATGCAAAGCCCCGCTTCAGTATCAATATGGCCTAGTGCTTTTAAGGTGCTTTGGCTGCTGATGTAGAGAGGCATTTTTAATGGACTGTGTTGCAGAAATCATTGTTGTGGGGTAATTTTACCCTACTCAAAGGCCTTGGTGAATGAGGTCTGCATTTACCAGACAGCCTCGCAGCAAGCTATGCTATATTTCACCCGGCAGTCAGCGCTGAAATGAAATCCAATAGTCATTGCCTGCATAGGCAACAGACAGGTCCAAATGTGTTTTTTTGTTTGTTATTTAATTTAATCTAAGACAGATTCACAAGGGCGGAAGACGACAGATAAATCAAGATAAAGCCATCCCCGAGAAACGTAGTGAGTAACTGATTTTTTTGTTGTTGCAAAAAGCAGAAACCAGATGTGTCATTGCAATTAAGAGTCCCTTGGCCTTAATTATACTGACCTGGGGTGTTGGCTTCACCTCAGCGCTGTAGTTCACTGGCAGAAGAGGCCATTAGAGCCCAACTCTAAACCGATGCAGCAACTTAATTGAGCACCTAAAGGCTTTGGCTCCTAAATCAAATACTATCAAGAGCTATCCCCTGGTAAAATAATTAACCCGGTACGAGTTTCACACTGCGCCCAAATGTAAAAAGGCTGCGGTGAAAACTCCTTTTGTCCTTTGTTTCCACACCTCTCAAAAGCTTTCGCACAGGAGGAAACTCCTCGAGCAACATATTCAACAAGAGCACGAGGAACATGTTTTCAATTTGAGCGAAGTTTGAATTTCGGAATGAGCCGGCTTTGATATGCAGAAACATCTTGTGGGGAAAGTGTAGTTTTGCTTCTCCACACACACACATTGCAGCAGAGCACAAGAGTCTTAAAGCAAGGCATATATGTTCATTTCCACTGTCATGTTTGTCCCAGCGAGAGCAGAGAATTGGCAGTGTTGTGACGACGGTCTCCAGTTAATTAGTTTCTGAAATTGAGTTTTGATGGAGCCATTCCAAATGATGCCAAGACAAAATTTGCTTCAGCCTAAGCTGCCTTATTGAAAGCCATTTCTGTGTCCCTTTGCAAAGAGCTCTGGCTTGTTTGTTTGTCAGTTTTTCTAACAACTGCTCGGGTTATGGTTGGGATGGTAGAGGCATTTATTCCCTCTTTGTTAAATACATTTCATAAAAAACGTCTTCAAGAAGGTCTGCGCAGAAAGACACTTTGATCTTGTTGTTCTTTCTTTCGCTTGTTAATTTTTTCCCCCCAACCAAACAACTTTATCTGATGCACGCACGCCAGTGTTAACCACTCCCCCCCTATCCCTTTCTGTCTCCATCCCTCTCTCTCCCTCTCTCTCCTTCTCTCCGGAGCATGTCAGATGCCGTGGTCTTATTTGATTGCTTAGGAAAAGTGCAGTGATAGAGCAAACACCCGGTGAGATATGATGACAAATGGGTCCAGATCCCAGTAAATTACTTTCTGCTCAAATCGAAATTTCATTCAGTTTGCTGCTCACCGAGATGAAGTAATCTAAATTGTGGACTCAGAAGGAAGATAGAAGGGAAGCTGGAGCAAGCATTTCATTATCAAGAGGCAGAGAGAGAGAGAGAGAGAGAGAGAGAAGGTTAGGGACGAAAGAGATGAGCAGAAGCAAATCTAAAGTGTTGACACCATGATTGAAAAGGTTAACCCATGCACATTATATATCAACCCGAGTAGCTACGGGGTTTCTAATGGAAACACGGCACTGACGGAGCATTCACAGGAGTCCTAATGGCAAAAGCACTACATCTCCGCCTGGATGTACAATCAAATCCTCTTAGGTCCTTATTGCTTATGTTCCACGTTATTATTAGGCTGCAAAAAATGTGCAGCCAAAGTAATATGCAGTTTCAGTGCTAGATGCTTGTGGAGGGCAGAGTCGTGTTGGATTCATTTTTCCTGTTGATACTGTGATGATTTTCTATTTCTTCTGCTGTATGTTTTCCCTTCGAGGCAGAAATGGAGTTGGGGGGAAACTTAGCGCCGGATACACTTTTCATTCAGTCACACACTCTGCAGAGAAAAGTGTGGACAGTCCATTACACAAGGCTAAATCTGTGCAGATGCATACAGCAGCTCCACAGTAACACTCCCTCTTCGTCCCTTTCTTCCCCCCCCTCAGATTATTTGGGAACAGCGGAGCTTGCAGCGCCTGTGGTCAGTCTATTCCAGCCAGTGAACTGGTGATGAGGGCACAGGGCAATGTGTACCATCTCAAGGTAAAGTCAAGTTTCCTCTCTGGAGTTTTGAACTTGATGAAGTTGGAGTGCTGCACAGTTTAAAGCCTTTGTTTTGTTTTTAGCAGCGATGCATCGGTTATGAAATCCTGGGCCGATGTTTCAAATAACATTTTTTTTTGGAGATAACTGATGGTGATCCCATTATTTTCTTTCATTTGTAACTTCATATTTTAGCATTTTGCCAATATACCGATATCAATCAGCTGAACAAACGGATATTCAACCGACACATCAGCACACTCCTAGTTTTCAGTTTTGTGTATAACAGTGTTTTCCTTAGTATCGGAATTATCTCTTTGAAGAACACACAAATCAGCATCACATTGAATTAACTTTACACTAATTATGTTGTGTGCTTGGCTTAAAATGTCTCTGTTGTGGTCAATAGCGACTACTGTCTGTACGGAGCAGGGCTAATGAGATATGATTAACAGGAGATCCAAAAAAGTATTAAAGCAAAAACTTTAGTTTGAATTCAAATTGGTGTAAAATCCAACTGCTGGAGCGCTAAAACAATAAGTGGATTAATCATTTAATCACCATCTGTTCTCATGTTTAATAATTAAAATTTTCAGCTTCTTGAGTAAATGTTAATCCATTTAGCATTTTGATATTATTTCACAAAAAAGGAAATTTTATAGCATCACTGTATTAAAATGTTGTGATGAAAAATGATGTGAGCGTGTGTTTGAAGACTTATGAAACAGACCTAGGATCAGTTTTGATCTTAGCTATGAGAAAACATTAATATTTTGTGTAGATATTTGGTTGAAGCCTCAAAGTCTCTACAAAAACTATAGATTGCGTATGAAAAATTGATGTAGCTGCCCTGATGTTAGTCATTGGGTTTTGAAGCCTCGGTGCTTAAAAACAACTATATTTCAAATTTAAAGTTGCCATGTTTAGGCGGGATGAGGGCATACTGATTTATCGGTTAATGATGGTTAGCTGTTCATTAAGAGAGCGTTCATTAAGAGAAAAACAGATTTTTGTACCATGCATTTTTAAAGCTGTAAAGCTGGACGTGTTAACAGGAGGAGGGAGGCTGTGGGAGTGATTTGTTTGTGGAGCAGAATAAAGTGGACACTACAGGATCTGACCTTTTTTGGCGCTTCAGCATTAAGGCTCAGGTGTTGCTGCTTGCAACAGAAACAAAGAAATACTTGGCTATGAAACTTTGACATGACGTGATGTCCCTAGTGGTTAAATAGGAGTACTGCAATTTGCACATGTATGTATCCAAGGCTGAATTTTGCATGATATCTATCAACAACGTGACAAGATTTCTCCTTGACAGATGTAAGGAAATAAATGCCGGATGCAAGATCTTTGAATTTACAGATGTGATGTGGTGTTCTAGTGTGTTAAAATGTAAAAAGGTCTGTTTTTTAGCTATTTGATAACATTACTGAGAACAGGGAAGCTATTTAGAAACCAAATGATGGTTGTGTCTTCCACAAACACTAAATCTTAATGTGCGCTGGCTTTATTTAAGGAGCAATTTAAAGGCAGGATCCTTTAATTGAAATTGAGATTTACAGATCACAGGCGCTCAAGTCACAAATAAGATTCTTGGAACCTGCTTAAGCAACATTTTTATCCTCAGCTTCCTTTACAAGTTCAATGTAAACACACTACAGGGAAGGACCTGTAAGACCTTTAAGATCGGTTCTGTCTTTGTTTACAGTGTTTCACATGTTCCACCTGTCGGAACCGGCTCGTCCCCGGGGACCGGTTCCACTACATCAACGGCAGCCTGTTCTGCGAACACGACAGACCCACAGCGCTCATCAACGGCCATTTGAGTTCACTGCAGACGAACCCGCTGCTGCCCGACCAGAAGGTAAGACCCCCATGATGGCGGAGGGAGCCCCGCGGTTCTTTGTGGTCTCATTTCAAAGTACAAGACAAGCAGCAAAAGTCATCAGTCAGCCGGAGTCATTAGCAGGAAAAGGAAAAACATCTGTAATTTTCACGGCAACATTTTTCACTCTGTTTATATTGATGTCGTCGATTCGACTTCACTGCAAGGCATGCAGCCGATATTAAATCTTACAGAGCAGAGATGAATTTTATTTTTAGACAGCCAATGGATTTTTCCATCATTCTTGTTGGAGGACATGAACTTAGAAAATCTGTATTAACTGTCAGCACAAAGCATGCGAAAATGATGTTTTTGTGTACCGCTGCCCTCACACTTTGTTACCAGCAGACACATATTTGACTCATTGTGAATTTATTTTGCCGTTCTGAGCCAGACGTCCACTTTTAACATTAATACGGAGTGTTTAAAACCGAATTTGACTTTTCTATCAACATGCCTGGGATCACCTGGGTTAAGTTATTACTCCGAGGCCAAAAATGTGCATCCGAGTGGGGGCGAGAAGCGAACACAGACAGCAAGCTGCAGCAGCATGTATATCATGAAAGCTGTCATCATGGCTTTCCCTGATTTGATCTCGATGCCTCCAGTGAAAGCAAAACAGAAGGCCTAATCATATACGAAGGATAACTTCATTCTTCAGGATAGCTTCATTGTGCCTGCAGCAGATCTAATCATTTTTGCCTCACAACAAGCAGCTTTATTGATACCTTGTCTGCACATAGAGCACACTGAGAGATATGGGAGGTGTTTGGAGTGTGTCAGAGTCTGACTGAAAGAGGAATTATATTGTTGGGAGCATGCATTTCACCTTGAGTGGTTCTGTGAGTAGAGGAGAGGTAGAACTCCATTAAGCCCCCCCACATCCCTCCTCCCCTTACGTCACAGGCCTTTTAAGGGCTTGTCACTTTTACAAATCAGCTCTTGGAGCTCTAAGAGCTCCTCACATTTAAATTGAAAGCCGTTGCATTATCTAGCTTAATTTTAAATGTCTGTTTAAGTCCTTGCTCCCACCCCCAGTGTCTCTTGCAGCATGGCTGGTGTAGTAAATATGAGGCCTCATTGTTTATTTATGCACTAACATCAATTGTAGTGAAAACTGCTGAATTATTGATGCTAAAATGCAATCTGAATATTGGCCCTGGTGCTTTAATTATAGCAGAGAGCGAATTATTAAATAAACAGAGACTCATCGCTCAGTGGGAACAGTCTCTGGATGCTTTTGTTATCTGCGCGAGTGAAATAAGGAGAATTATTCTGCCGCTCAAGCACTTTATCACACTGTATTTCTTTTGCTCGAACAGAATTTCGACAGCCTCAAACAGCAGAGGCTTACAGCAGGATAACAGCCCTCTGAATCAATACGGCTCCAGTGTATCGGCCTGAATATAGAAGCTGGTTTAGCAGAGGAGAAAATGAAGCAGTCACAGGGTTATCTTCTGACCGTTGTTTTGATTATGTGCGATTTCGCTGTGACATAATTGGTGTTGTTCACGATCATGGCGTAGGACATGTGATGCTCATTTATTAAGCTTTCTTCCCAGCTTCTTCCTAATCTCTTTGTTCAGAACAGACAAATTACCGCTCTCATACAGAGCTGCTTTGACCCAGGGGAGAGGGACCCTCCCAGCGTCAGTCACTTTAATTAGCCCCCAAGTAGGAGTTTGCAATTACTAATAGATTGAAGCCCTCCTAGTGATTTGAGGGATGAAGGGAAAAGTAAATCGCCCCTTCGAATCGCGGAGGAAAAAAACAAGAAAGATGAAAAAGTTGAATGCTGCTGGTACCCAGACAGATAATTGTCTTTCCTCCCCTGCATTTTTCTGTTTCAAAGGACTGAACACCTCCTGCAGTTATGTCGGAGCGTGGTTCTAATTATACCAAAGAGAATCGCTTCATGAATGCACTTTTAGTTAATGCAAAGTAAATGGGACACCAGATGGTTTTCAAAGCCTGGCTGATCAATAAATTAAACACTGGAGCTGGTGGAAAGTTTATTTATCAAGGGGTGAAACATTTATGACATTTTGTGAACTGATGCTCTTAATGACGGCTTGATGTCTGTTCTTATTTAAACTTTTCCTTTTTTATCGCCCTCTCCTTTCAGGTGTGTTAGGCGGGAGCCGTGCAGGAAGCAGGATGTGTGCCTTCATTTTAACCCTTACCCATTGACACCCGAGACAGTGTGGATCAGCAGCACCCCGGCCTTTTTAGCTGTGCCCCCAGGCCCTTTTGTCCTAAAGGAATCCTCCTCACATCTCAACCAGTAACCTGACTTTTTATTTCTGCAACTCATACCCAGCGCTCAGCCTTCAATCCTTGGCTTTTCCCCAACTGTGGGTGGATACTTGCACTTACTACACCTGAATCGGGACACTGCGGACTCTGTGACCTTGGGACGATTTAAAGGGGGGGGAAAAAAGAAAAGTGAAAAAAGGGGGAGACCGATCCGAATCCTAGAGGACTCTACGGGAGGAGAAAATTAAACAACGTGACGAGACTATGTTGTGACTGAAGAGAAGGAACGAGACTAATGAGGTTTAAAAGGCGCAGGCTTTTCAACTCTGCACATTTGTTTAGAGACATTTTGGGGGGGAAACTGGGACTTTTTCATTTTTCCTCTCCTCCTTTTCTATCCTCATTTCCCAGCAACATGGTGTTTCCACTTTCTATATTTTAAGTGTTGTCAAAGGGGAATGTGTTTTTTGGTTTTCTTTCTTTCTTTTTGGTGGTATATATCTATATATTAAGATGGGGTTTAAAAAAAAATCTGTGGCATTTTGTGGAAAACAAATCATGAACACTCTCTTGGTGTATTTGTAAAACTACCATGTATGTACAGTATGCATGTAAATGTCGTTGTCCAGGCGTGGCTACAGTACATCTGACCCCTCCGCACTCAGCTCCTCCCTTTGAAACTCATGGCAAGCTGAAGAAATTTGCTCATAGTCAGTAATGTAGAGATCATCACCAACATTTAAATGCTGAATGAAAGAGAAATTTATTTGTGATATTTTCCGAGACATTTGCTCCAGTATGGTGTATTTAAGTAATAAAAATATTGAAGATTTAATAGCCTCCTTAAATTCATTGTAAAGCTTCAGTGTCTCTAATTAGCTAAACTTGGGTTTTTAGATGTTGTAATGAGTACCTGGCTAATTTTGTCTATTCAAGTGGGCAAAAGCCTGATATCAGCATGGCTGAAAATCCTCTATTGAACATCCTGCAGCGCTGCCATTCAATTCCCAGCCTCGCAATCATCAAGGCGCATGATGAGCGTCTAACTGAAAATGGATAAACATGTATCCTCTCTTTTCTGTTCGGATGACCGTTTGCTATTCATCACTCTAATACCTGACAGAAATGGAGGAAAATGTCCCTTTGAAGATTCAATTACTGCAGAGAGGGAGAGAGGTGTCTCTTTCTGGCAGGCACAAATTGAATGGGCTATTTGCAGAACAAATTGGTGTTTGAAGTCCTTGCAAGACCTAATAGGTCTGAAGGAGGGACCCGGTAATGGCTGATGCGCTTATCTGCGGAGTCTGCGGCCTCGCATGAGCTCGCTGCTGCCGCTGAAACAATGCTGCTCTTCTCCAGAAGGAGGCTTTGATGCAAAAAAAAATCATCTCGAAAAGGAAAGGAAATGGACCTGAAGAGTAAACAGACCCTTGTGTTTTAAATTGGAATTTCAATGGCATGAAAATCACGCCGAGTGGATTTGTTCTCGACCTTCTAAAGCACAACCTAAACATAGCGATTGTTAGCAATGCGTCACTTTCAGAGTCCCGGTTCTAAACATGCTGATCGAAGTCTAGCCAAGTATCTAATACGACTCTGATGTGCAAACCTGAACAAAAAGATATGTAAAAACAAAAAAACAACAAGAAATACACACCTGTTACCTTGAACATCACAACAAAAGGCTTTAATGGAACTAACAGCAAATCCTTTGGGTCCTGTGGGGCTTCCGGGATGGGGGTGCAATGGAGAGGAGTGCTTGGTCTGTGGTGGTGTTTCAGGAGGTGGTACAAGTCAGAATAACACAAATGCAAGGTCCCACGTTTCCCAGCAGGACACTGAATTAACGCTCACGTCACTCATCTCTGGTTTTAATGTTGTGGCCGATTGGTGCGTATAACCGATACACTAAACAGGACAATGTAACTAAATCCGTGGCTCAGGTAATAGATGGGCTTCGATCCCGTGCTAAAGTGTCCTTGGGCAAGACGCTTGAATGCCAACCTGCTTGCTATGGCGGGCGAACAGCTTGCATGGCAGCTCTGCCACACACCAGACCATTTAACAAACAAGTCGTTTCCTGGCAGGAACACCACTTTAACATTCTCGATTTGTATCTCTTTGCTTGCTTGCTTGCATTGTTTGAGCATGCAGGTACTCGCATGTACCTGACAAATGTCTAGCTTTGATTATCCATACATCACATTTTCCACCTCAGCCTTTTTTGTAATATTTACATTTTGTTAAATTTCCAGCACTTCCGCTCAGCTTTCTTTCTTCTTTTTTTTTTTTTCACGGACAAATCGACGGGAGATGCACATCGATACAGGTGGAGGGAAATGGCTTTAATGGAACGGAGCCATAGTTAATGTTATTAGTAACACCTGTGCCTCTCTGACTACGACAAGCCAAAATGTCTTCCAGTGTGACAAAGGCAAGGCAGCTTATTAATGCTGCACATTTCATACACAGCTGCAGATCAAAGAGCTTTACTAATAGCGGAAAAAAAAGTGGGCATATTAAAACATGAAAATGATTATTAATAATGAGGAAAATGCAACACCAAATTGAGGACAGAAGTTCATTTATACACAATAGTAAGCAGGTAGGTTTATGTTTGGATTTTGTGGAACACTCTAAAAAGTTCGTATAGACAGAACGGCTCAGTATCAAAAACAAAATTAATCAAGCCGAGGTTTACTTCACAGGTTTCCTGAAAATCCCCCAAATTTAAACCGTCTCTCAAAGCAATTTAGCTGTAGTGGTAGGTTTATTGAATGTTATATAAAAACTGTTAATTGTCCCCTAATTTTCCAAAATCTAAAGCGTCCCACCCACCCAACCATCCCTGAAAAGAATCCAGAGACAACATTCACTTCTTAAAAGGAATTATGGAAAATTCCCAGTTGCTGCCTTCATTAGTTTTCCCAAAAATATACTTTTAGGGATGAAAGTCGGTCTGTTTTATTCATTTTTCAAGCCCTATTCTTTCTTTCTTTCTTTTTTTTTAAATTCCATTACCAACAAAACTACTTGAGCTCGGTGCTTCAAATATTTTACAATGAATATCTGGTACTATGGCTCTATGGATGTGGACCCTTGTGTAGCTTAAGTTAACAGAGTGATGGACGCTTGAAGTCCCGGAAATATTTGGATACCCGATCTCTGACAGCAGATTTAGATTCCTGCAGAAATCACAATGTTGCTGGTTGGGGACTCTTTTTGATTTACAGCTTCTCATATGCAAGATACATAATAACTCTATGACAATCCAAATCAGCTGAATGCTTTCACAGATATTAAATAAAGATTTTTTTTTTTTTAAAAACCACACATTTCCACAACATATCAGTGTGATATTCCTCAGGTATGAATAACTCATATTTATAAATTGTAGTTTTTTAAATTTGATGAACTGAGATGGAAAGAATCCAGTGTAACGCACCGTGTGGACATACCAGAACTGAGGCAGGATAGTTTATATTCATATTCAGTTTCACAATCATTGCATTAAATTAATCTCTCATAACAATTCGTATATTCTATGTAAATCATATATTGCTTCATACTACCGGTTTTCACCCGTTTATGGACTAAATGCATTTCTATCTAGGCTAGCAATAGTCAGATTCGCAAAAAATTGAAACGATCTCAAAGGATAATTCCACTTTTTTTTCTTTTTTTACATAACATTCAAATGGGGCTTTGGCTAGAGGTTCTATGAACCTCTTAAAACAGGAATTTTTTGTGTGGAAAAGGGGAGGATAGCTATGTAAACATCATTAAAATGTGGCAGTTTTAATACTTAGAGGACTGCAAAATGCTTCAAAACCATCATCCTCATTTAGCTTAACTGTCGCATTTGATTTAAGGGAGAATTATGAAACATGATGCCCATCCATTGCTGCTATTTCAGAGGTGATAACTGCAACATGCATCCCCACTTTCACCTGCATATGAATGGCTGTCAGGCTGCAGAAGCCTTTGAGTATCAGATTAAAAAAAAAAAGAATTATCCTTTAAGTTGATTTTGGTTTAAAGTGATCTCAGTAATCCACATCAGAACAAGACCATTTCGTGCTACACTAACGTTGGCCTTTTCCGTTATGAAATCCGCTTGGTTCCATTAAGCTGTTTACTCTCTCACACACATAAATACATGCATACACACATGAATATACATAAGCTGTGCACGTGCGTACTAACAGATTTCATGAGTCATTTTTCAAATCAACTTATTGAGTCAAATTGCTCAGTTTGGGACTTAATACATATGTGAGAGTTTGCTTTGATGTGGTAAACCAGAGTGAGGGCTATGGGATCCCACCCACAACAATGAAGCACACTTAAATGGCACGGCAGCCTGAGGGAAATCACTTTGCTTCAACTCCAGCTCCTTCCTGCGCTCACTGGGGAGTCTACTGATGCACCACAACTGGATTACTTATGATTAGCCACCTTGTATTTATTTCTAATTAGTTTACGTCTTCATTCTGCTGCAAGTTTTTGATTATCATTTATCTCGATGTGATTGGAAGAGTTTTTTTTTATGACAGAGTGGATGTTGTGTTCTGCATGACAGCCTGTGCAAACCGAAGACATCTGCCAAGCTAGTTTTATCTCCTTTTGTTTACTGCATCCGAAACAATATACTTAACACCTTCCAGATGCTTTGAGATAATAACATCAACACATTAAATCGATTTATTTATTTATTCCATCCTTCTAGTATTTCCTCTTTCTGAAATAATAGCATACAGAAAAATCTTCCAGCAGTTTGGCTCGGTGGATGATGCTTTTGTGTTATGTGTGCACAATTTTGTCTTCTTGGGTGCCATTGGGGATTAAATTAAACGTCGCACTGTTGTCCGGTTCATAGTCAGTTTTTAAAATGAAGATAATTACTGCGACTTAGTCAGGATGTGTTCATATAGTGCAGCGTGTATACTACATCCATGTGGAAAAGTAGATTTTCACAAGACTCTTTGCAATTACATGAAAAATTAAGTACACCCTCACTGCTTCCATAGGAATTAAGAGGATAAGTAGCAGCCAGGTGCTGCTAATCAAATGCACTTGATTAACTGATCATCAGCAAGTGTGAACACCTCTAAAAATGCAAAGGTTTTGGCATCTTGCTTGTCTGAAGCACTCAAGTCTGTAAATGAAATTGCAAAAAAAGAAGCATCATAGGTTCTACAGGCCTCAGTTAGCATGCTAAATGTTTAAGATCATAATGAAATGACACCGTTTTAAAAAGACTCAATAACTATGGTTTGTTTGGAGAGATTTGCTGAAGAAAACCTCTTCAATATTTAAAAAAGAACATGACAGCACAGCTCAGGCCTGCAAAGGTGCATCTGAACAAACCGCAATCTAGACCACCTGGGACCTTAAGAGAACTGCAAACCTCAAGATACTGAAGCAACACTTTGAAGAAGTGGGAGCCAGAAACGGATAAAGTCATAAAGAAACTGATTACTTCAGTTTATTGCTGCTAAAGGTGGTTCTACAAGACACTGAATCATGGGGTGCACTTAGTTTTCCACAGGAGTCCCGGAGAAACCTTTCAAAATAAAATGTTATATACTGTTTGTGTAGTATATGAATTTGAACAGACTTTTCTCAAATTGAATACAGTGAGTCCTGCACTTAGTCAGACAACCATAGACTGTATGTAAAAGATGGACGTAGCCACTGTGAGGTCTAGTTTGTGAATGTAGCTGCAATTTATATAAGGTGGCATTAATATGAAAGATACTTCTTATGTGATGTGGCCAGAGATACGTTCTTAGAGGATGAAGAAAGGGGGGGGAAAAAGTACAATCATGCTTC